ACATATATGTAATAAAATAAAAAGATGAATACGATAACGATATTTTGTAACATAGGTAAATTATATTGATGGCATTGTTATTTGAATTTACGAGGGACTACATTTACTAAAAATATACTCTCTCTTCGGCTAATAAGTGTGCATTAATTTTTGACGCGAAGTTTAAAGTATTTTAATTACAATGAGCAGTTAAAAATAATGTAAAAATAATTTTATCTTTACTTTTTGGTGTAAAAGTTATGATATGATGGTAAAATATTTGTCGAAAAAAAGTGAGGTATTTAATGAAATAGTTCTTTGTAATTGGACAACCCAAAATAAAAAGGTTCAAAATGGAAAAAAAATTGATAAATTAATTTTAGATGGAAATAGTATTTTATTTTATTTTTTAAAAATGGTACAAAATTCACTTATGATTTCTTAAAATTGCGTCAAATCCCACATACTTTTAAAATCGCGTCAAACTCCCTCATAGTTATATAAACTTTGCATCTAACTACCCTAGCTCTTCTTATTTAACAACGTTTGACCTGCACACACTCACACTACTAATAAGTTTCAGAATCTCCATTTTTAAACTCATGAAATTAAAAATATTTTCATTCATATTATATTTAGCCTCAAGAAATAATAATAATATTCTTAAAATTACATAAAAACAACTATTTTTTAGTATATTTTTAGTATGTCTTGAAGAAGAAGAATGAATATATTTGTAATCTCAATGGTTTAGAAATAGTGATTTTGAAACTTATTCGCAATTTGGGCGCATAGAGGTCAAACATTAATTAAATAAAAACAACTAAGGGGTCAGACACAGAATTTATGAAATTATGAAGGAGTTTGACGCAGTTTTGAAAATATGAAAAATTTGACGCAATTTAATAAAATTATAGGTGAATTTTGTGCAATTTTGCCTTTTATTTTAAAAATAATCACAAAAATAAAATTATATATAATTTGAAATATTATGATCTTTACACAAAAATAAAATATGACCTTGCTAGGTAGACCCTAAATATGATTTAGGATATTTATCAAATGAAAATCTTGATTCTCTCTGTCTCAACTTAAAATATTATTTTTATTATTTTTGTTCGTTTTATTTAAAAATATCATTTTTCTATTTTAGTAAAAGTAAACATACACTAATACCAAAATATCCTTAGTTTTTACCTAAATTATTAACATACTATTACAAATACAATTAACTTATACATAAAATCAAAGGGTAAAAAATGACAAAACCTGTTATACATGTTCGTTTTACTTAAAAGTATCATATTTCTATTTTAGCAAAAGTAATCATATACTAATACCAAAATACTCTTAATTTTTACCTAAATTATAAACATACTATTACAAATACAATTAACTTATACATAAAATCAAAGGGTAAAAATGACAAAACCTGTTATACATTTATACTAATTAATAAAATATTATTATTTTTTAATCTATTATAAAACTGTCCGTTTGGAGTGAGACAAAAGAAATATTAAATTATTAATTAAGACGACTCGCTATCTATGTTTCGTTTTATTTTTGTCATTGTCCATCGTAATAGAATTAATTTCTGAACTTTTTATGGTAAATACACAACAAAATCATGCAAACAAATTATTAATCAAAATGTAGCACACGATTTAACGTGTGTTTGGATGGTCAATTAATTAACAATCATACTCCCTTCATACATCTTTTGGGTAAAAGATTAAGAAATAATAATAATATTACCGTTGAGTACAAAAAATTCAAAATTCGAAATTAGGATTTCGGCCAAAATAGAGAAGAGGATGGGCCTAGCGTGGGCCCGGCATGGTTTTTAATCGAATAAAGATTCAGCTGAATGAAGGGCCAAGTAGTGGGTCCAGTAAGGTCTTGAAACCAAACAGTTGCGTGATTGATTAGTCAGTCGCTTAATTATCTAAAAAGTTTATCCGACTCATAATTATATGGTTGGTTGAATTTTGGAGGAAGGTACCAATTAAAGTTTCTAGATTAGTGGATAATGGTTCAACTAACAGGATTAGATCATGGATGATAGGGGTTGTAACTGACGATGGTTTAGCGCAAGATCTGGATAATCGACTAAGGAGCAATTAAATGCGGTTTCAGTCGGTGTGTATATCAAGAACTTCAATGGGATAGTGAGGGCATCTTCAATGAGCAACAAGTCCAGAGAAAATCTCATTGAGATCATCTTTTTAATATTTCTCGTTGTTATTTAGTCTTTTTCTTAATATCGCTTAGATTTTCTTAATATCTAGACACTCTATATTCAAATTTAAAATATATTTTCGAATTTTACTTTTTATTATTGAATTTCGCGCATTAACAAATTGACGACCACATTGTAAATCGAATGCAAGATTGTTGATCATACGTCTGATGAAAACTTCATACGTCTCAGATCCAGCCGAATCATCGGAAGGATCTACATGACCAATTGTAGGAACAATAGATTAACCTTGTTGGAATTGATTTTGAGACATTACAACAATTAGAAAGGTGAATAATATTAAACAAACAACTTAGGCCCGTTTGGATTGTCTTTTGGCCGGAGTTTTTGACTTCTACTTAAAAATATATTTTATATCTGTTTGTATTAGATTTTGTCTAAAAGCAGAAGCAATTTTTGAATCTAAAAAATATTTCTTCGGAAGCACATTACCGATAGCTTCTAAAATAAGTAAAAGTTGTTTTTTTTTTTTTTTTTTTTTCAGTTAAAATTATTGTTTTATTGTTAATAATAATAATAATAAATACAATACAATACTATAATATAATATAAAATAATTAATTTCTATAATATATTTTAGTAAAAATTTAAAAATATAATTATATTATTATTTTTAGTTATATGATATAGTTGAATTAAAATTTAAAATTATAATTGAGATAACAAATTTGAATAGAAGTATATAAATTTTTTAATTGTACTAAAATTATTAATTTATAAAATTTTAGAATAAATTGTAAAATATAAATAATTTAATATTAGATTGTAAGTTTATTTAAAATTTATATATTATCCTTAAATTAAATTTTAAAATATATATGACAAATTTTAAAAATATATTTTATACTTTAATTAAAAACCTTTAAATATAATTATAAAATGTAAAAATAAACTATAAAAGTTTTATAAAAAAATACAATTATCTTAACATTATGTCCATTTAAGTAATTTTAACGGTTTAAAACACTTTCAACTCTATTACATCCAAATATTTTTTTTTTAAAAAAAAATTTCTTTTATAATGATTAATCTAAATATAAAATCAAACTACTTTTTTTTGTTTTTGTTTTTACTTCTGTTCTTAGCTTTTTAAATCAATTCAAACGGCTCTTACTTTCGTTATTCTATTAATATTTTTGTTAACATAAAAATTTGAACAAAACACCACATACAATTGTACTCTATTATACGTGACATAATATTTTTGTTATAATACATTGGTTAATAATAATAATAATAATAATAAATATTTAATATTATAGTTTATTTTAAAAAAAAAACAATACAAAAAGAGAAAAAAATACCTCAACTTAACCTAGCAAGAAGCTAAAATCTAATGTGTTGTTGAAAAGAGGTGTGTTCAATTTGTGAAATAGTTTTGAAGAGATATGTTTTTACATGTGTACAAAGAGTTGTGCAACTAATATCAAAATAATAAATATGTAGTTATTCTATCTCACTTAATTTATCTATTTTAGCTTAGACACAAAATTTTAAATATGGTGTAATTAGTAAGTAATTTAAAAATATATTAGTAAAAATAATTATGATTTAATAAAAATAATCTTAGATTAAGATATAACTAAATAGTTTAATTAAAATAAAATAAAATATAATTTATGAATTATTAAATGTAATTAAAGTGTATAATTATATTTTCGAAAAAATAAATGACAAATTATATGAGATGGACAAAAATACAAAAATCAAACAAATTAAGTAGAACGAAAATAGTAATATATTAATGTTTTTGAAAAACGTGTACTTTTTCACAAAAAGAACTCACCAAATTAGAGTCTATATGTTTTGTAAAATGGTTTGAAGGGAAATTTTTTAAGGTAAAGTATAAAAAGTTACGTAGATAATATAAAAAATAATAAATATATATAATATATTAATTTTTTAATATATTTTTTTCACACATCAAAAAAATTTCTAAATTTGATGATTGAAATTTATAATTTTTTTTTATTATATAATTTTGGTATAACCCGCAACAAAAATAATTTTCATAAATATTTAAATTAAAAAAAAATTCTGAAAACTCTTTTAAATTAAAAATTCATAGGATATGTTCTTTTAAAAATTTTGCCTAAAATTTTAGGGTGGGTTTGTTTTGTGAAATGATTTGAAGGAATATATATATATATTTTTTATGTAGAATATAGAAAATTGTGTTAGTAATATAAAATAATGAATATGTGCAATATATTACTCCTTCTACCCACGCAAAATGTCCATATTTTTTCTTTCAGTATGTCCTACATAATTTGTCTATTTTCCTTTTTTTTAAAATGATTATACACTTTACTCATAATTTAATTTTATAGTTTATAATTTTTTTAATTTTAATTAAACTATTTAATTATGTCTTAATTTATAGTTATCTGCATTATATAATAATTTTTTTAGTAATATATATATTTAAAAAAATATAACTAAAAAAATTGAAATTTCAGAGCCAAAATATATATATATATATAAAAATATAGAATTATATTCGAGTGAGCTTACATATGACTCATTACACCAATTTTTTTTTTTTTTTTTTTATCAAAAATCAAAACTGATTGAAATAGTATATAATAAAATTTAAATTGATGATTTTTTTTAGTATTAAAACTAAAATTGATATATTTTTATTTACCAAAATACTAAAATTGATTTATTTTGCCTCTTTAAATTTTAAAACATGTTTGATTGCGTGCGTGTATATATATATATATTTAAAAAAAAAACAGTTAAATAGGGTAATCCTTCTACCCATAACATCCCCGCGCCACTCGACGAAGCTTCTCGTCTTTTCCTTCCGTCCGCGTCCTCGCAGTCGTGCCCGCCGGCGTTCATCTCCTCCCGCGGTCGACCACCCCCCATCTCGTTCTCTTCTTCTCTCTGTTTCACTCTCCGTAATTTCTTCATCTCCATCGGCATTCAACTTGGGACCGCCTCCGAATCTGCCATAGTATTTGCCGGCGCCGCTCCTTCTTCAGCCATCGCCTTCAGATTCGACCGCGCATAGCCCACAGCCGCCACTATCCCTTCTTGTGTTTAAAGTTGACCCTTATTCTTGATCGCCACCACTGCCTGCCCCATCTTTTGGTAAAAACTTTTGTTCGATTTCAGGTTCGTCTCTTCCTCGATATCAATTGAGTGCGATTTTTTGTGGCATGGGTCTGGAAATTGCAATTGGGTTTCACTTCTTTGAATTTTGTGTGGGTTCGATTTTATTTCTGGATTGGTAAGTCTAGAATTGGAATTTCCTGCTGCTGGTTGTTTTGAAGGATAGAAATTCTGCAGTGTTTTGTTCGTGATTTATATTGGCAGTGTTTTCAACAAATCTTCTATTACGTGCGAACAGGCTCTGCTCGCCAGGCTGCTGGCTGTTTGATGTTATGATCGATTCATTGCTAATTTTGAGTTGTGAAATTCCATAGGGCCTGCTCGCCACTTCAAATTGCAAGTGCCGTGGCGATTTGAGTTTAGTTCAGACGAATGTTTGATTGAATTAAAATCTGCTGCTGCTGTTTGCTTAACAGGTTAAATCTTTATATGGAATCATAGATTGCTTGCAGTTGTAATTGGTGTGTAATTGACGTTGTTTGGCTGTGGCACTATCTCTTAATCGGAATCATGCTTCAATATACTGTGATGCGCTTGCGAGTTCAAATGACATTAGCTGTGGTGTTGTTTGGTCTGTTTGTTTGCCTGTTTCGCACTTATTTCACAACAAGTGTGAGGAGAGACTCTTGTTATTTCAATTTTCATTCACTAACTTGAATTTCTTTGGGCTGTCACGTTGTTCACCAAATTTCCCTAAATTGTCGCCCTAACGTTTCGCTCAAACTCCTAGACAGTAGACACTACCCCATTTCAATTATATCAATTTTTAGAACATCTTATTCCCATGTTATCTTCTTTAGACATATTTATTTTCTCATTGATTGATTGAACTGTTGATTTTTAATTTTTCTATTAAATCAGCAGATGGTCTGCCTATTAAAACTAGTTTCTGGACTTTACAAACCCTTATTGATATATTGTGAATGGTTCTTAACTTTGTGTAGTAATCTGTAGAATGATGCATGCCTGGATGATGTTATCTTTATGTGTTTCGAAGTTCTAAGTCGTATATCAGTTGAGGATATTTGAAATGAGTGTGCCAGATGATTTTGTTTTCCAGACACTAAAAGTTCAGTGCCTTCACTTTTTTCTTTTTATTTCTAATTATTGATATCTTTTAAATCTCAATTTCCTAAACAGGAGCTTTGGCTTTGGCCATCAAGTGAGTGGTGGAAATTAAGGCGATATCAGATAAAAGAGGATGAGTAATAGCACAGCTGGACCTTCATCAAAAGCAAAAGTTGGCCAGTCACAACCATCAGAAGCCTCTTTGAAGCGTAAACGTGGGATGTTTCAAAAAGAGTGTGAGTTCCCTCTGATGATTTCCCAGCACTGTTAATTTAAGGCCTGTGATTTAACAATCTTGTTGATCTCGTTGTAACAGTGCAGCACATGATGTATGGCTTTGGAGATGATCCAAATGTATGCATCTATCCTGGCTTCTAGTAAATTCTTTTCCTTGCAATAAGTTTTTAATTATGTATGCAGCTGATTTAAATGTGTTGACGTATTAACTCCTTGTTAATTTAACACTAGTATTTGTAAAACCATGATATGATTAGAGGAAATTTAAACTCAATATATGCTGTTTATAAATAACTCATCCGAGGTTTATAATCTAAAGAAATAGATGGTTACAATCCGGAAGTATATCTACATTCCTTACAGTGGTATGTAATTTGGATGCTGGCAAGATTAGCCCTTTTTATTCTATGAGATGCATCATATATCAATTTGATTTTATCCTTTCCTGGTTACATCTAGTGAAAATGACTTTATGTTGCAATTGTTTTACTGCAGCCACTTCCCGAGACTGTTTCGCTTGTTGAGGATATTGTTGTGGAGTATGTCACAGATATGGTAAAGTCTTTGGTTTTAAACTATTTTAAATCTTATACTATAGGTGTTGTAGTCCCTTTGTCATTCATTACAGGAACATTGTTAATGATATATTCTTAGGTCCATAAAGCTCAAGACGTTGCAACCAAAAGGGGCAAGCTATTAACAGAGGACTTCCTCTTTCTAATCCGAAAGGTAAATTTATTGGTGGACACCTGATTCTCCAATTTAGCACGAATTCTGCTGTGGATGTCCTAATATTATCATTTCCAAAATGATATGAATACAAATGCTTTTAAAATTCTTAAAAGACAATGATGATTGTAGGATTTGCCGAAACTTAACCGCTGCACGGAATTGCTCTCAATGAATGAAGAGCTCAAGCAAGCAAGGAAGGCATTTGAAGTGGATGAAGAGAAATTAGCATCTGCTGACTAAGAAATGTTCTCGGTATCTCATTAACCTTGTGCGGCTCATGAATTTGGGTATTCTTCTTAAAAGTTTACCTATCAACTCAAAAATTAAACCTTATCACATTGTACTGGATTTTTTTATCACAATAGTTTTATTATTAACTTCACACGAAAGAATGAAAAGTAAAAGAGAAAAAAGGGCACTCCTACAGAATGACCTGTATATGCATGCACTGCATCCTATTCTGGATCATCTTTATTATGCTGCTTAGAATTCATTAGTTCAAATACAATTCTTTCGACTCATGTGGGATGGGCAAAATCTTGTAATGGATTCTGTAATACTAAATCTGAGGTGCATAAATGAAGATTTCAAATGCATAGAAATAATATCACAATTTCCCCTATTTCTAATGGTAATTGCTTTAACTGCAGTGGCACAAATTTGTTTGCAGCCAGTTGCTAGTTTGGAATCATAAAAACGCAGCAAAATGCAAGTGCTCTTTGAACTTGAAAAGTTGAATTTTAAGATGAAATAAGGTACATCTTATTCTTTCATCCTCGGGTATTATTTTCACACACAATCACAAACACAGGCAGTTGAAAATCACTGGCATTTTTAAAAGCATGGATAAAGCTACAAATCTCCATGTGTTCATGGATTTTGGTTTCATGCAACTAATACAAATTTACGTCTGTAATGCTACAGCCCTTCCACAAACGATGATCTCCAATAATTTGAACAAAATTGCAGAAGAGGAATGTAGATATCTAAAATTGTTGGCATGGGTAGAAACCAAAGTGGGAATTTCCTGCATGCCTATTGTAGAATTTCTTTGATCTCTTTTTTTGGTCATTTGTCAATGAGGTAGGGAAAAGAACCTCAAATGTGACATATAGATCACCCTTCTTGTTGCTATAATGTAATGCCATGCCTTCACCTTTGAATTTCCTCACTTGCTTTGGTACTATGATACCCTGAAGATTAATGTCAAACATTAATACAACTTCATTTCCTAAAGTGAGGGATGGATGCAAGGAGAAAAATAGACATCCTTTTAGCTGTGAATGCTAAATGTAGTCGAGTGTTTGTTGCTAACCTTGGAGCTGATATCCACTGGATGTTCATCAAGGTGTTTAATGCTCTTCTCAAAACAGACAAGAGCTTGAACCTGAATGTGAAAAATATAGCCTTCATAGCTATAATCATTCAAATTATTTTAAAGGGTATTATATAAGTGAATGCAGTAATGTTATAGGGTGTTGCGAAGATCACACACAAACAATAATGTCACTTGATTCTATGATTCTGAACACAGCATTACCAGAGTAATTGTAACTGTTGTGTGCAGATCATTGCCTTCTTTTCTGAAATGATTATGAGGAGCAGTCCGGATCCGAAACTTCAACTGCATTAACAACCAATCAGTATAACACTAGACAAATGATAATGGCTGTAATAAGCATATTAAGCTCTATTGCCACCATTGAGACATGAAAAGACATCCAACCTTAAGATCACCGGCTTCCCCATCAATTTTTGGCTCCCCTTTTTCATAGATGACAACTTCCTGTTAAACAAAATTGTAGGAACTCCTCCAAACACCTTGCAAACAGAAAATCTAGAGAAATAAATGTGTACAATATATCTGTATATTTATATATATGTATTATAGTACACAAATGAAATGATCATTGAATTTGTGAAAGATAAAAGGAAGGGATGCATACTTGGCCATCATGCATTCCTTTCTCAATGTCAACAGTGATTTGCTGCAAAATCTGATTTCTTTTCTTTCCTCCACTGATATACGTGCTTGAAAGGCTGAGAGGGTGAGTGTTTTTATCTAGTATACAATCCTTCAACATAAATTGCAGTTGCAAGACATAGTTGCATTATTACTACAGAATTGGAAAATATTGCTTTTATGGAATTGTTGAAAGAAACGTTGTGTTTTAAAGGTTTGCTTTTTTAAATTTTTTTTCTTGGTGGTGATGTTGCTATATAGACAGACAATTATGTATTTAGTTATGTAAAAATCAAGTTTTTAATGATAAAACTAAATACATAGATGTTAGGTTTTATTTTATTTGAAACATTGTTGCAAAAAGCTTAATAAATTGAAGAAAATTCTATCAAAGTTTAAACATGCGGATATGGAAACTAGAAGGCTACATGTATCTAAGTTTGAGTTGTATTTAAATTTTCTGAATTTCGATAATTACCACTAGAAGGCTACATGTATCTAAGTTTGAGTTGTATTTAAATTTTGATAATTACCGTTAGTTTGTGAATTCATTTACTACTAGTATGATTTAATTACATGTGGTTGTGATGAAATTTAAGTCACATATGAATCTCATCTGAAATATGTGAAGGGATAATGGTTTTTTGGCCTATGAGATTAGTCAAAGGCTATGACCAAAGCCTAGCTATGTAGCCTATGTTGATAGTCCAATTCAGAAACATTTTTTGCCCTTTAATGCGATCGGAGCTGTTAATGATTAGGTTTGTCATCCTGTTGCTCCGATCAAGTTGCATTATTGCTAGATCTATTTCATTCTCACTGAGCCATTATGTATGAAATTTTCGTTTAACTCTATATGTGTGTTTTCTTTCTTCTCCCATGTATTATATATTTGATGGTGAGTGTTTTCCGGCAAGTTTGGCTGTAAAATTGAAAGACAAATTGTTCTTTGTGAAAGTGGAGGATTTTGTGAGGATTTTATGGTTTGTTTTAGCCAAATTTTATATATTTCATACTGTTAGAATATATTGTACACATATAGCCCTTTGTATTAACCCGTCCAATTAGCAGTCTATTGGGGCTCGTGTATACTCTATATATAGGCATCTTGTAACTCTATTTTATAAATCTAACTTATACTCCGTAAATATTGTGACATAGTATTAGAGACCATTGCCTAGGGTTCCCCCATGCTGCCGAACACTGTTTTTCGCCATCCGTCGCAATCCAGATTACACCAACACGACTAGTGGCTTTTCCTTGCCGTCACCGTCTTGCCACCAAGATCCCGTTGCCTTCTGCCGCGCGTGCGCCACTCATGTGCTGTCAAGAGATTTGAAGGCGACCCGTTTCGTTTGCACGTGGACCACCCAATGACAACTCTTGTTTTAATTTATGATATGTTGGTGTGGTTGGTTTTTGTATTTGACTTGATTTTCTTTCGCTGCTATTACTAGGTTTGATTTTTAAGTTTGATTTCTTATTTGATTTTTGCTTGAGTTCTTTTGCACTCGCTATACTATCTCTGAACTTCTAAATACATAGTGTGACTATTAATATGGGCTATGTGGAAGCATTTGGGATATTTGTCATGCTTACATGTGATAGTTATGATTTGTGGGATGAATCCAGAAAGAAGTTCCTAATTAGAAAAAGGTTGTTGATGTATGTTACTAATATTTTAATGCACCGACATTTGAGACGTTTCACACACCTAAAGAAATCATGGAGTATCATGAAGCTTTGGATGATTGGGACAATAAGAATTATATTATTCTTACTTGAATTCAAAATACCTATTTCAAGTCTATTCAGATTCAACTTCGTCACATAGATATTGCAAAGGTCTAGTACTATTTAGAGTATCACTATCAGGCTACTAGAAGTATGGATTACTACTAGTTAATGGGCTTGCCAAATGAATTGACGTGTGAGTCGAATCAAGATAAAAATGATTTCTTTTCCAATATTTAGTCTCTGTGGGTTCGTATTGATGAAACCGATATACAATGTGAGTCATTTCGCCTAATATAGTTGTTAATGAACTTGGTTAAAAATATAAGTCCGTTCATGCTTCCTGGTTCCATTGTTATTCCTTACCATCATTGGAGACAACTATGAAAGAAATTTATTTGAGGATATTCGAGTCAAGATACTCAAGGTTCCTACTCCTGATTCGGCTATGGTTGTTTCTTCCTCCATTTATCATTGTAGGGATGCTTATAGGGATTCTCCAGTCTCTTATTCTGGTCGCATGGATGCCCGACCGCCTCTATCTGACGAGTGTCAACGCTGCCTGAATGCTGATCATATTTACATTCATTGTCCTAAGATTGAGTGTCACTACTGTCATCGCAAGAGACACGTAATTCATAATTTTCCCAAAAAGAATAATAAATCTTCTCCATCCAGGTCCTCATCTGCCACAATGTTGCTACTAGTGTGAATTAGTTTCTTCATTCCATGCCTCATACCCTTGAGGACCTTCATCATATCCTCACTTAAATTTTGTCTGTTAACCCTTCCTTGATCAAGGCCTCAAAGTAACAAATCTTGGTGTATTGACTTTATATGTTATAATCATATGACACCTGGTATCCACCTTTTGCACTCCTTAAAAAGTGTCACTTCACCACTACATATTCTCAAAACCAATGGCACATCCATGCTCATTACCTGTACGGAAAACACCTCTTCATTATCCCTTCATAATATTTACATCAGTTCCTAATAAACCCTGAAACTTGCCTCGGTTGGTCAGTTTGCTTGGGTAGGGATGCATTGTGATATTTTCATCTTTTGGTGTGTAGGTTTAGGACATGTAGATGGTCATATTCTTGGGACGGACGCAAGATAGACCGCTTATTTAAGCTTGACATTATTTAGTTTCCCTAGACACCATCTCCATCCACTGTTATCTCTCATTTCTCTTCCTAACAACGGCAACTCAAACTTGGTCACACCTTTATAAATAAACTCCGAGTCTCTTTCTAGTAAAAGTGCTTTAGGACTAGTTTGTTTTGAATCCTTTGATTGCTTACATTGTAAATTTGGTAAACAACCGGTTATTCCATTTTCGAATAATATGTCTATTGATGACAAACCATTTTTCTTAGTACAATATTATGTTTGGAAGCCATCACCAATTAGGACTCTTAATGGGTTTTGTTACTTTGTGATTTTTTTATGATTACTTTCAATTTATTTGGATTTACCTTATAAAAAATCGGTCAGAACTTGCCTCTATTTACTCCACCTCTGTTAAAATGATCTAAACATAGTTTTTGTGTGCTATTCAATCTTTCCGCGTTGAAAATGCTCTAAAATATAGTTATATACATTTCTTAGTTTTCTATCTATCAAGGGTACTATCATTTAGTGCTCTTGTCTCTACACATCCCAACAAAATGGTAGGGCATAACTCAAGCACCACTATATCCTAGACACAGTTCGTGCCATATTATTATCTGTCTCTTATTCAGATTGCTTTTGGGGTGAGGCTACTCTCACTGTTGTCTACAACTCTAACCGTCTACCATCCTCTTCTCTTTAGGATGCCACACCTTGTGAGAGGCTTTTCATCAGCCACTTGGTTATGTTTACCCTCACTTTTTTGGCTGTGTCAGCTTTGACCACATTTCATCGCATAAGCGGAACAAGTTGGAGCCACGCACCCATCTATGTTTCTTTATAGGGTATGAAGTAGAACATAAAAGGTTATTGTTGTTGGGATTCTGTGTCAAATCGCCTTCGCATTTCTTGGCATGCCACATTTTGGGAACACAAGTTGTTCTATTCTAAATTCATATTCTTTATTACATTCCAACCTTAGTCCCTGTTCTTTGTCCTAGATTTGTCTCTCTCTACTTTCACTGCATATTCCGAGCTTTTGGCAGTCTCCGATGGTTTGACTGATACTTCTATGTCACCTCCAGCTGACCCATTTTCGCCTTCTGAGCCCATGTCCGATACTAATGAGATCTCAGTACTTGCAACCACTGTTCGGCGATCTACCCGTGTAAATTGTCCTCATGCTCATCTATTTGATTGCTATCTTTTTCGGTTATTAAGAGGGGTACTTGGGACATCATGAATCTACCACCTAGCAAGAAACTCACAAGATGAAAGTGAGTTTAGAAGATCAAGACTCATTCCAATGGCTGTGTTGAGCACTAAAATGCTTGCTTTGTTACTAGAAGATTCTCACAGGAATACAATATTGATTATGGGAAGACCTTTGCTCTTGTTGCTTGATTGATTTCGGTCCGTTGTCTCCTTGTTGTTGCGGCTGTTCGTCATTGGTCTCTATTACATTTGGATATGAAAAATACATATCTTCATGAGGATCTGACTTAGGAAGTCTACATGAGTCTCCCACTTGGTTTAGACATTTCCAAAAAGGTATGTAGGTTGCGTCATGCCCTTTATGATCTGAAACAAACACCGCGAGCTTGGTTTGACAAATTCAGCATTGCACTTCTTTAGTATGACTTCTCTGCCTCTCCTTATACTTTGCCTTTTTCATCCGTCTTTTCCCCTCTAGTGATATCATTCTCTTGTTGTATATGGATGATATGATTATCGTTAGATAAACACATCTTTATCGATACTTCGACATGAAGAATCTTGGTCAACTATGTTATTTTTTTGGTCTTGAGACTTCCGATGCTGGGGATGATATTTAGTTATCTTACGCTAAATATGCCTCTAATCTCATATCTCATGCTGACATGCTGACATGACTATTGACCCATTCCTCTTGATGGCACTCTCCTTGCTGACCAACCTTTCGCATCATTGATAATTGGTGGGCTCATTGATCTATCTGACTATTATGCGCCCTGACATCGCTCATATAGTTCATATGGCTAGTTAGGTCATGACTAATCCCAATACAACCCATTATTCTGTTGTGTTGAGCATTCTTTGCTATGTTAAGAGTACTCTTTTGTATGGTCTTTACTTTTCTGCTAACTCTTCATTGGTCCTTGTGCTTACTTTGATACTGACTAGGCAGATGATCCTACTAATGAGCGTTCCATCATTAGCTATTGCTTCTTCCTGGCCTATTCCCTTATTTTTTGGCATAATAAGAAACAAACGTTTGTCGCCCATTTTAGCGCCGAGTCAAAATATCGTGCACTCATTGATTCCACTTTTTGAGGTACTTTGGATTTATTAGTTTCTTTCCGATCTTGGGGCTCTTCAATCATCTTCAACTTCTCTCCATTGTGACAGTGAAAGTGCCACCCAAATCTCACATAATGACATCTTCCACGAGCATACCAAACATATTGAAATTGATGGTTATTTTATCCGAAAATATATTTGTGAGGACATTGTTCACTTGTATCCTATCTTTTCAAAGGATAAGATTGCAAACATTTCAACCAAGTGCCTCTTTCCAAAGCTGCTTCTATACACTTTTGAGAAAACTCAAATTGGTTTCTACTTTACTACCATAAGTTTGAGGTGATGTTGGTATATATTGTATATATATAACCCTTTGTATTAGCCCGTCCAGTTAGCAATCCATTGGGGCCGTGTATACTCTATATATAGGCATCTTGTAACTTTTTTTTTTTTTTTTCATATATACAATTTATATTTCGCAAATATTTTAACATATAGTATAGGTTTCAGAATTGATGTGAAGTTGGAATATAGGGTTTTCTAGGTGACCATTGGCTTCCCACCGGTGTTGCGTCTTGTTAGAAAATATGAGGCGATAATGAGGAATCAAAAAAGAATTTGATTTGAGGAAGACCTCTTTTCGCAGAGTGAAATATGGCTGATAGTGCTTTGGTGTAACCGTATCATTCCAAAGGTAAAACAACTTATATCATCTTAAAGTAAAACCATTAACAAGAGATCTGACGAGCAAAGATAGTGGAGGATAATCGGCAGAGGGAGGAGAGAAGAGAGTTTGGGGATGAGAGTGTGTAGGCCTTAGTGTTAAGGATAATGTCTATTTAGAGACTGTCCATAGAAAAAACATTTGAGGATTCTTTTTTGATATACTATTGATAATCTCAATAAAAACCATATCAAAAATCATATCTCGTAGGATATGATCTCAAATATTAGATTGAGAAATCAATTCCAAAATATGTCTTATCTATTTAGTATGGATAAAGTATTATTTAAACTTTTCTATCCGACTCGTGAGCTCACCGACTTGGTCTGATGCTCGATCTGAATTCCCAATTCAATTCAGCACATAATTATGCGACATGAATAATTATATTTACCAATTATCTCATATATTTATAACTCACTATAATTCAGTTTTAAGAATAGACTAATTATTGATTTTTTGAAGTCTCATAACGAGAATTACTATGATTCCTCCACATAAGTGTAAATAGTCAATGCTCATGTTACAAGGGCATGAATCTCCTTAAATAGATGTAATCGCATATGAGAAGGTAACTTTTAGCTTTGAACCTTCTTTTTTTGATACCATCGGGTATATAAGCAGGCTAATGAATTTCGTCTTAAACTATTTTGCCACGACGTATACCTAGACAACGTTATCGAAGTGATAACACCCCACTTCTCACCTATTCTTATAGCACCGTTATTTACATGTCCTAGTTGTGAGTGTCATAGTTCATATGACTTAAGCAAGTAAGAAGAAACGTGTTCTTTATTGCTTTTATCATCCTTGTGTTTGGCGAATATATTCAATTTAAACATTTGATCAGTAAGATACCATTTACCTAGGAACATTTCATACTTAGAAAGTAAAAATTTCTCAGACTCAAACACTAGTTTAAAACTATGATTGACTAGAAGTGAACTGAAAACTAAATTCTTTTGGATGTCTGATACATGTAAAACGTCCTTCAGTGTCAAGTCTTTTTCACTCATGAGTCTAAGCACCACATTTTCAGTTTCGAAAACCTCTGTCCATGCTTGGTTGCCTATGTACAACTTTCTTCTTTCTATAGGCTTGTGGGAGACGAAGTAGGCCTTGTCTATAGCTACATGATAGGTAGTACCCGTGTTGACAAACCATTCATGATGGTTTCCGACGTGCAAGACTTTTGAGACGACGGAACTGAGATTGTTCTCTTAGCCGTCATCCTCCTTACTTTCTACGGAGAGTGCACTCACCTTGTCTTTTCTCTTAGGCCTTGTCCAAGCTTGCAACAGTAGTAACAGTTTCTGAAAAAATTGGCCTTTCTTTTGGCCCTCATCAATCTTAGTTGGGTCTTTTCTCTTCTTCGAAGAGTTGCCTCACTCCGTTAAGTTGGTCTTACCGTCATAGACCCTTGATTTTGAACTTTAATTTCGGTTGTTCTTCTTCGATATGAAGTCTAACAACCAGGTACTCAAGTGACATACTTTCTGTTTATGCTTGAGGTAGTTCTTAAAATCCCTCAACGAAGGAGACAAATTTTTATTAACTACTGTCACATAAAAGGCATTTGGGAGTAGCATCTCTTTAGCTTGGAGACCATGTATCAAGAGTTGAAACTCTTGCACTTGTTCCAGAACTTAATTTCTGTCGACCATATGGTATGATAAGTATTTCAATACGATATACTTTTTAGTACCCACATCCTCAATTTTGTACTTTCTTTCGAGTTGTTGCCACAATTATTTAGCCATCTTTAGAGCTTCATATAGAGAATATAAAGAACCAGAGAGACCATTCAACATAAAAATTTAAACACAAGAAGAGTTTAATATAAATAGTATAAAGAATTCAAAAGACTATTCAACATCAAAATTTAAACACAAGAAGTTTCCTAGCCTCAACATCGTCAGATAGAACATTCTTTAGTTATGTGATTGTGTTTATCAAGCTAGGAAAAGCTTCTGAAATAGGAAGACCTCTTCGCACAGAGTGAATTGTCCTAGAAGTTTCCTAAACATATTTAGTTGTGTGATTGCATTCATCAAGGCAGGAAGACCTTTATAGGAAGACCTCTTCGCACAGAACAAATTGTCCTCACTCATGCACACTTTGGAAAACTTTTCAGGGGTCCCATCCTTAAATTATTTTAGAGCAAACACTCTTACACTAGAGTTTTTTATGTAGGCTTACAAAAAGAAATGTGCACATTATTAAGATAAATAGTTTATTGAATCTACTTAATCTATATTCAATCTTGGGTAGCATAGTACCGACTCATCCATATACAGGACTTGACCTAACACCGGACCAACTCCGGGGTATCACAAGGATAATCGACAGAGTGAGAGGAGAAGAGAGTTTCGGGATGAGAGTGCGTATTCTTATGTGTGTACGTCTTAGGGTTAAAGGTCATGCTTATTTATAGACTTTTAACATAACAAACTTTTGGGGATTCTCTCTTGATATGATATCATAATCTCGGTAATTGTCATATCAAGAATCATATTTCAGAATATGATATCAAGAATCATATTTCATAGAATACAATTTTAAATATGAGATTTGAAAATCAATTCTAAGATATCCCTTATCCATTTAGGAAAGATAATTTTTTTTTTTTTGTTTTTTCTGATTTTTACATTCGACCCATAAGCGTACCGATTTGATACGACATTCGATTTGACTTCGCTATCCCATTTAACACATAATTATTTGATATAAATAATCTTATTTTACTAATTAGGTCATCTATTTTTCACATATCATAATTTAATCTTGAGGATAGAATTTCTTGAAACGAAATTCCTACCTGCCTCTCACGTCTCGATCTTTGTTGTGTTTTTTGATGCAAGAATCATTACAATAGAACTTGTTAGAATATGAAACTGAAATTCTCTATTCAATCATAAGATTACATACATATTTATAGTGATATATAAACCATTTAAATAAGACAAAAATCCTACGAATCTCTTAAATAAGATAACTACTATAAATATAATATATTGTTTCTAAATATATGTTAACACCCCTTCTCAAACTCAAGATATGATCGAACAAACTTGAGTTTGTCAGAAGTGACACTACAAGAAAATAT